CAGAGTGGTTATTCAAATTTGTACTCCCACAAGCAATGGAGGAGTGTTCCCCTTGCTCCACATCCTCACCAGCATATGCTGTAACTTGAGTTTTTGATCTTAGCCATTCTGACAGATGTAAGATAGAAGAATCTCATAGTCATTTTGGTTTGCATTTCCGTAATCACCAAGTACAATGAACATTGCTATAAGGGCTTCTCTGCCATTCCATATTCCTAAGTTGAGAATTCTGTTTAGCTGTGTACCACAGTTTTAATTGAATGATTTTGGTTGTTGGTGTTCAATTTCTTGAGTTCTTTGTATATTTTGGATGTTAGCCCTTTTCTGGATTAAGAATTGATGAAGATATACATTTAAACAATGGAATACTACCTAACTATTAAAAGCAAAGAAATCTTTTGGGTATATACCTAGGAGTGGTATAGCTGGGTCTTGAGGTAGCACTACTCCTAGTTGTCTGAGAAAGCGCCAGATTGACTTCCAGAGTGGTTGAACCAGTTTACATTCCCACCAGCAATGGAGGAGGGTTCCCTTTTCTCCACAACCTCTCCAGCATGTGCTATCACTTGAGTTTTTCATCTTGGCCATTCTGATGGGTGTAAGGTGAAATCTCAGGGTCGTTTTCATTTGCATTTCCCTAATGGCTAATGAGGTTGAGCATTTCTTTAAGTGTTTCTCTGCCATTCGATGTTCCTCTTTCGAGAATTCTCTGTTTAGCTCTGTTCCCCATTTTTTAAGTGGATTACTTGGTTTGTTACTTTTCTGCTTCTTTAGTTCTTTATATATACTTGATATTAGCCCTCTGTCAGATAAAGGGTTGGTGAAGATTCTTTCCCAATCTGTAGGCTGTCTATTTGCTCAAGTACACAACAAGGACATTTGTTCAACCATATTTGTAGCAGCTTTATTTGTAATAGTCAGAACTTGGAAACAACCCAGATGTCCATCAACGGAGGAATGGATACAGAAATTGTGGTATTTTTACACAATGGAATACTACTCAGCAATCAAAAAGGAGGAAATCATGAAATTTGCAGGCAAGTGGTGGGATCTAGAAAAGATCATTCTGAGTGAAGTATCCCAGAAGGAGAAAGACAAACTTGGTATATACTCGCTTATATAGACCTACAAGACATGATAAACATAATGAAATCTACACGCCTAAAGAAGATAATCAAGAAAGTGGACACAGGCGAAGGTGATTAATCCTCATTTAGAAAGACAAATGGGATGTGCATTGAACTTATGACAGGAGTCTACCACAAAAGGCATCTGAAAGACTCTACCTAGCAGTGTTTCAAAGCAGACACTAAGACTCATAACCAAACCCTCGGCAGAGTGCAGGGAATCATATGAAAGAAGGGAAGTTAGTATGATATGGAAAGGATAGGAGCTCTACAAGGACCAAATATATCTGGGCACAGGGTCTTTTCTGAGACTGACACTCAACCAAGGACCATCTATGGATATATCCTAGAACTTCTGGCTCGTGTGGCCTGTGGTAGCTCAGTAACCAAGTAGTTTTCCAAAGTAAGGGGAACACGAACTATTTCTAACAGGATCTCAAGGACAGGCTGTTTGACACCCCCCTCAGGGGAGGAGCAGTCTGTTAGGCCACAGAGGAGGACTTTGCAGCCAGCCCTGAAGATACCTGATAAAACAGGGTCAGATGAAAGGGGAGGAGGTCCTCCCCTATCAGGGGACTTGGAAAGGGGCAGGGAGGAGACCAGGAAGGGAGTGTGGGGTTGGGGAGGGATTGAGGGAGCGGGATACAGCTGGGACACAGAGTTAACAAAATGTAACTAAAAAGAAAAAAAAAAAAAAGCAAAGAAATCATGAAATTTGCAGGCAAATGGATGGAATTAGAAAAGATCATCTGAGTGAGGTAACCCAGACCCAGGAAGACACACATGGAATGTACTCCCTTACAAGCAGATTTTAGCTGTATAAAACAGGATAGACATATTATAACTCACAGACCCAAAGAAGGTAAGTAACAAGGACTGAAGAGAGGTTTCTTAAATCTCATTCAAGTGACGAAATAGAAAAGACAGTGGTAGTGGCTGAAGAGAGGCAACACGACAAAAGCCTAGCTTAGCTGTTCTCTGAAAGGCTCCACCCAACAATGGAAACAGATGCTGAGATTCACAGCCAAACATTTGTGAATCATAGGGACTCTTGTGTAAAAGGGGGAGAAAGAAAAAGAAGGACTTGGAGGTGCCAGGAGTTCCACAAGAAGAGCAACAAAACCAACTAACCAGGGCCCTGGGGAGCCTATGGAAACTGTAGCATCAACCAAGGATCATGCATGGACTACACCTAGGCCCCCTATACAGATGTAGCTGAAGGGCTGCTCAGGCTTCAGTAGGATCTATAGTAAGGGGAGTCAGAGCTGTCTCTGACATGGAATTTGTTGCCTGCTCTTTGATTACTCCCACTAACAGGTCTTCCTTGCCAGACCGCAAAGGAAGAGGATGTGCTCAGTCCTGATGTGATTAAATAAGCTTGGGAGTGTGTGTGTGTGTGTGTGTGTGTGTGTGTGTGTGTGTGTGTGTTTCCCCTTATCTGAGGAACAGGAGAGAGGGAAGGGGAAATGGGAAAGAGAGTGAGACTGGGAGAAACAGAGGGAGGGGCTACAATTTGGATGTAAAGTGAGTAAATAAGTAAGTTACCTTAAAAATGTAACAGAAAAAAAAAGCATTCCTCAGAATAGAAATCACGAATAGCCAGCAAACATACGAGAGGCTCAATGACACAAGAAAACAGGTCAATTCAAAATTAAGATACAGTGCAATGAAATTTTTGTGGGTAATGACTAACGAAATTATTTAAATGTTGGTAAATATATAAAGCTAAGAGACTTTTCTATATACTGTTCCTAGGGAGAAACTAATATAATTAACAAAAGGAATAACATTTTGATTGTAAAATGTAAAACACACACTCTATGGTTAAAAAATAATAATTCATTCTTAGCTGCAAAGATAGTAGCACTGGCTACTATTGCAGAGGACCCATGTTTGATTCTCTGCTACCACATGGCAGTACCCAATCATCTATAACTCCAGTTGCAGTGCATCCTGCACTGTCTTCTGGTCTCCATGGTATCAGGTACACATGTGATGCACATATATACATTCAGACAAAACGCTCATACATATCGAATTATAAAAAAAATTATTCTTGGAAATGCATCCTAAACAAAGTCCCTGTATGTGTTTCTGGGAGTGTATGTGTGTGTGCCTGTGCCTGCTTTATCACATGTCATCTCATTCCCATGCCGTGGTTTGAACGAGAATATTCCTCATAAACTCAAGAGATGCTGGAGTTGTTTGGGGAGGTGTAGCAGGTGTGACCTTAATGGAGAAGTATACTACAAGGGGGCTTTGAGTGTTTAAGTCTCAACACATATCAAAAACTCTCCTTCCTGCTTGTAAATGATTATGTGAAATGGGACACCTGCTCCTGCCACCATAATTACCACTTGCTGCTATGGTTCCCTGCCATGAGGAGACTCCTATCTCTCTGGAAATGGAAGCCCAAATGGAAGCCCTTCTTCCAAAAGTTTCCATAGCCATGCTGTTTTATCACTGCAATAGGAAAAAAAAATGAAGACAGGTTTTTTTTCACTAAACCTGGAGCTAAGTTTGCAGCAGCAAGCTAGATCCTCTAGCCTCAGATATTTTCCTCAAAAGAAGAACGTGGTTTACAGGCCATACATGTGACTACATCTGGCTTTTTATGTGGGTTCTGAGGATATGAATGTAGATCTTCTCTACTGATTCATCTCTCTGGCGCCTAAAGAAAGTCTCAAACATATATAAGAAACCCTGTGCTGGCTAGTCTTATGTCAAATTGACCTAGAAGCTAGAGTTATCTAAAAAGTAGGACTGTCAAATGAAAAAAATGCCCCTTATAAAAAGTAGCAGTAAGACATTTTCTTAATTAGTGATGGAAGGGGGAGGGTCTAGCCCATTGTGGGTTTGTTATCCCTGGGGTATTGTTCTTGTGTTCTAGTAAGACATAGAGAGCAAGCCAGTACACAGCACTCCTCCACTGCCTTTGCATCAGCTCCTGTCTCCAGGTTACTGCCATGTTTGAACTCCTGTCCTGACTCCCTTTGGTGATGATGAACAATGTAGAAGTATAAAATGAATAAACTCTTTCCTCCCCCAAGTTGCTTGGGTCACAGTGTTTCTTCATAGCAGTAGAAACCCTAACTAAGACACATATAAAAAGATGTTAATAGAAAACATGAACAGGGGCTGGAGAGAAAGCTCAGTGGTTAAGAGCATCGGCTGCTCTTCCAGAGGACCAGGTTCAATTCCCAGCACCCTCATGCCAGCTTACAACTGTCTGTAACTCCAGTTCCAGTGGATCCGACTACCTCACACAAACATACAAATAGGCCAAACACCAAATGTACATGAAAATAAATCATTAAAAAAATAAAAGATAAACATAAAAATGAAAAAAAATAACTTATGATACATTCTCAATAAATTACCTAACAATAAAAAACTTGTGTATATGTATGTGTATCACATATATTATACATCATGTATATATATATATATATATATATATATATATATATATGACAGCATATACATGATATCACACACACAAATATATATATATATATATAAGATTGAAGGAACAATGTTGGATGACAAATATAATTTATGAAATTTTATCATGTTCAAAAACATGCCAAACTGAATATGCCACTGAGATGAAAAAAAATAAACATTAAATCACCTATAAAAATAGAATGAACTATGTTTACATGTGCTAACTCTTCACTGAATTTATTTTAAGATAGGAACATCAATAACTCAGCCTGCCCAACATGCTTTGAAGCCAATAATGGCTTTAAACTCCTAATCCTCCTGCCTTCATGTCCCACACGTTAGGAATACAGAGATGCACCACCCAGCTTTAGTCTAATTTTTATGTTATCCATAAAACTCTTTTAGAAGATATAAATCATAACTTACCTGCAAAAACACTGTGGGAGTTCTCCTTGGCCATATAAAGGAAACAGAAATGGAGTGTTGCCATACCGCCCAAGACACTGAAGAAAGTTTTTGGTAGCTTTGAGACCATCTATAGTACATCTTGTTGTCTCTGATGTCATTGCAATTGAATGTAGGACAAAGTATTGTAGATTGGGGGTTAATTTTTGAGTTTTTAAATATTCAGAAAATATAGTTTCCTCATATCCTATGAAAAGAAAGATGAAAATTTATCAATTAAAATCCATTTTAATATCTATTTAAAACCACCTTGTGGGCATTTCTGGCAAGGGAGCATTGGCCTGGGGTGACTTCTGCTGACAAGACTGAGAAGGTAGGCTGGCGGAGGATGCATGGCCTGAGTTAGGGAAGCCTGCCCAGAGACCAACAACCAATGACTGGCTCAGAGATAGCATGGAGGAACCTGATTGGTCGTCCAACAATCTATAAAGTGTTCTCTCTGCTGGGAATAAACCAGTGTATATCCACTCGCCTTCAGATTGCATTCACCCAACTCCCAGTGTGGCTGTTGGGATCCAATATACTGAAAACCACACATCAAATAATAAGGAATACCTACAAAATTAATACTCTCAGTCAGTAAGGGAAAACAAACAAATATACAACTACTATGAGAAATCAATCATATGATCAAAGACAGGATTTCATGGAAATAACCTAAGTGAATAAAAATTATAGAAATTAACTGACTGAGAGGCTCCAAGTTTAAGCACTGGAAAGAAAAGCCAGGTATTTATTACTATAAAGCGTTAATAGAGAGAATTAAGCAAGATAGGATAAACATACTAAAATCTGTACACCTAAAGAAGCTAAACAAGAAGGAGGACCCAGGGTAAGAGGATCAATCCTTACTTAGAACAACAAAGCAGAAGGACATTGGAACAAGAAGAAAACAAGAAAAAGGACAGGAGCCTCTGAAAGACTCTACCTAGCAGTATATCAAAACAGATGTTGAGACTCATAACCAAACCTTTGGCAGAGTGCAGGGAATCATATGAAAGAAGGGGGAGTTAGTAAGATGTGGAAAGGACAGGAGCTCCACAATGAGAGCAACAAAACCAAAATATCTGGGCTCACGGGTATTTTCTGAGACTGATACTCAAACCAAGGTACATTCATGGATATAACCTAGAACCCCTGCTCAGATGTAGCCCATGGCAGCTAATCATCCAAGTGTATACCCTAGTAAGGGGTGCAGGGACTGTCTCTGACATGAACTCAGTGGCTGGCTCTTTGACCAGCTCCCCCACTCCCGGCTGAGGGAGGAGCATGCTTGCCAGGACACAGAGGAGGAAATTGCAGCCAGTCCTGATGAGACCTGATAAGCTAGGGTCAGATGGAAGGGGAGGTGGACCTCCCCAATTGGTGTACTTGGAGAGGGGCATGAGAGATGAGGGAGGAAGGGTGGGATTAGGAGGGAATGAGGGAGGGGGCTACAGCTGGGATGCAAAGAATATAAAATATAATTAATGTAAAAAAATAAAAATTTAATTAAAAATAAATAAATTATGATGTAATTCTCAATGTAACTTTATAATTTAATTATCAACAAAATATTTTAGTTTTATACAATATTTCCATCCCAATGTACCTGAAAAATAGTTGACATTAAAGTAGTGAAGTAAGTTTTTTATAAGCTAAAATAAGATTACAGTAAAAGGGTTAAAGCTAAGACAGGAAACCAAAAGATCTCTAAATCTGGGGGCTCCCCTATATATGACATAGCATTTATGTTAATCAAAAGGAAAAGCTCAATATTCTAAGTAAAAGCAGTCTTAAATAGACAGCTACACAAATTATTATTATTGACAAAATAAAGATGAAATAATGAAAAAGGCATGCCATACTTGAAGAATAAATTAATAATACTATATCTCATGAGCCAGGTCTTACCAGCTCCTAGTGCCATAAATACAATAATTAAATAATCAGTTAACAACAGTATTTAATTAAAACATTATAAATGGGAACCTGGCATGACATTCTTATTGAAAATATTTCCCTTTTTGGCAATAACTGCATATGGGTACTAGTACTTGAATTATGGCCAAATTGACTGAGGGAACAAACTTTTCAGTATTTAATTTGAATGAATTTAAATAGTACCATGTTGCTATGGCTAACTTAATACATATATCAGAATTAGAATGCATTTTAGAATAATCAGTTGTTTACCAATCTGAGGATACATATTAAAATTAAAATCTCAAGTAATAAGAAAACACAAGTTAATGAAAAGCAATACCTTTGTATTCATTGGGATGCTTTTCATACTCCATACAAAATGTAAGAAATTTCATAAGCAATCGCTTTTCTACCATAGTAAGTTGTTTGCTATTGAAGACATCCGCTCTGGAACATGGAACCTGAAAAAGTATTTGAAAGTGAAGCTTTTAAAGTACATCCTAATGACATAAAAAGTATTTTATTCCTTTTCTCATTTCAAGGTTATCATTTCCATTCCATTCTCACTGCTTCAAGTCAACTTGTATCAGTTCTAATAGCATCCCTGTTAACTACAAAGCCAATTAACTCAAGAGCACGGTTACCTAATTCTGCCAAGTTATTCTTCATGCCATGAAAAGGCCAATGGCATGTCAACCCTAATAGGGAACAAATGACAATTCAAAAATAATACTGCTGCCTGAAACTAGCATTTCTTCAACATTAAAATTAACCTGGGGAATAAGTGCTCAAAATTATAACAGAAATTTTAATGGAGCTCATTTTGTATTCGCATTTATAAACCACCATGCAAAATTGGAACTTAAGGCCTTATTAGCAAAACAAGAAGTGTTGTTTATCCTTCCAAATGAGGAATAATAATTTGGTTCATATAGTTGAGTTTCACAGTACCTGTTCCACAATTCCTTCTCGAAATGCGAGAATCCTTGTAATGTTTTTAAACTCTGCATATCGACTAACATTTGATTTGATTAGCAGATCAATTAGTAATCCCCGAGAATAGAGAAGCTGTAGACAGAAAAAGTTTTAGAGGATAAGATCAACAGCAAAATCATGGACACAATGGTAACTACTACTCACACATATGGACAAATACACTGGAATTTAAGTTATGCCTAGTTGAGCTAGCTAGCGCTTCCTGCTCTCCTCTTCACTCTTCTCAGCTTCCATAGAGAAGCCTAACTTGTCAGAGCTGAGTCTCCACGGTTCTTCCTGGCCTCAACATAACCGTCCAACCCTTACCACTGTGGTAGAAGAGCTAGGAGCAGGTCTCTTAAGAGCTGAGAGTTGAAGACATTTAATCAATGAACAGACTTATGACCTCTGTACCTTCAGACACTTTCACTCTCCATGCCAAAGTAAGATGGGGAATCAAACAGATGAAGATAATAATTTTGTCTTCAAGGTAGTACTCATCAGCGCGTCAGGTGTAGTCATCTGCTGTGTTGGTTCACCCACAATGAGTTCAGCCATGACAGCCGAACCACCATCATCCTTGAGATCTCCACACACACTGCAATGCTAGGCACCACTGCTATCATGGCACAGACCTGGAACACTGCTGGCCGGGAGGTATACAAAGCCATCACCTATGTATGCTACCGCAGAGCAGTAGGGGCACTCCTGGTATTCGACCTAACTGAGCACCACACCTATGCTATCATGGAAGGCTGGCTAAAGTAGCTTTATGACGATACATAAGCCACTATTGTTATCATGCTTGTGGGGAACAAAAGTGACCTCAGCCAGGCCCAGGAGGGGTCCACTGAGGAAGCCTGGATGTTTGCTGAAAACAATGATCTTCTCTTTCTGGAACGAAGAGCCCTGGACTCGAGTGTTGAGCTGGTCTTAGAGACTCTACTCAAAGAGGTTTTTGGAAAGGTGTCCAAGAAGAGGCAGAACACCTGGACCAATGCTATCAACCTGGGCAATGCAAAAGCAGAACAGCAGTCTGGTGCTGGGAAGAAGAGGGCCTGCATCAACCTCTGAATTCAGGCATGGTCAGACTTGAGATCCTCCCTTCAGCCTTCAGATACCCTCACCACAACTTACAGCAGGAATTCTCCCTACTCTTGAGTCCATCGTCAAACCCACCCATGGTCGTCATGCCATACCACATGTATGCATCATCTGTCCACACCCTCCAAAGGCCAAAGCCCTAAAATACAGGTGTTTTGTATCATGCATGACAAAAAAACCTTAGCCAAACTAAAAGGCAGAAAGAAACTATCTAAATCAGCAAAATTAGAACCAAAAAGAGGGACATAACAACAGAAACTGAGAAAATCCAAACAATCATTAGGTCTTACAACAGAAGCCTATATGCCATAAAACTTGAAAATCTAAATGAAATGGACAATGTTTTTGATAGATTCCATCTAACAAAATTAAATCAAGATCAGGTAAATAGAATGAATAGTCCTATATCCCCCAAGGAAATAGAAGCAATCATCAAAAGTCTCACTTCCAAAAAAAAAAAAAAAAAACCCAGGGCCAAATGGTTTCAGAGCAGAATTCTACCAGACCTTCAAAGAAGTACTAACTTCAATTCTCTCCAAACTATTCCACAAAATAGAAACAGAAGGAATATTACCAAACTCATTCTATGAAGCCACAGTCACCTTGATTCCTAAACCACATAAAGACCCAACCAAAAAAATGAGAACTTCAGACCTATCACTCTTCCAAACATTGATGCAAAAATACTCAATAAAATACTAGCAAACCAAATTCAAGAACACACTACAGATATCATCCACCATGACCAAATAGGCTTCATCCCAGACATGCAAGGGTGGTTCAATGTAATCCATCAATGTAATCCACCACATAAACAAACTGAAGGAGAAAAACCACATGATCATCTCCTTAGATGTCAAAAAAAGTATTTGACAAAGTCCAACAACCATTCATGTTTAAAGTCTTGGAGAGGTCAGGGATACAAGGCACATACCTAAACCTAGTAAAGACAATATACAGCAAGCCTATAGCCAACATCAAACTAAGCAGAGACAGACTTAAATCAATCCCACTGAAATCAAGGAAAAGGCAAGGCTCTCCACTCTCTCGATATCTCTTCACCATAGTACTTGAAGTCCTACCTACAGCAATATGACAACTAAAGGAGATCAAGGGGATACAAATCAGAAAGGAAGAAGTCAAACTATCACTATTTGCAGATAATAAGATAGTATACATGAGTACATCAGTGACCCCAAATATTCAAACAGATAACACCTTGAGCTGATAAACACCTTCAGCAAAGTAGATGGATACAAAATCAACTCAAAGAAATCAGTAGCTCTCTTGTAAACGAAGAGCAAAAGGGCTGAGAAAGAAATTAGGAAAACTACACCATTCAAAACAGCCACTAATAACATAAAGTACCTTAGTGTGACTCTAACCAAGCAAGTGAAAGACCTGTTTGACAAAAACTGTAAGTGTCTGAAGAAATAAGTTGAAGAAGATATCAGAAGATGGAAAGATCTCCCATGCTCTTAGATGAGTAGGAATATAGTGAAAATGGCCATCCTGCCAAAAGCAATCTACAGATTTCATGCAATTCCCATCAAAAGACCAACACAAATCTTTACAGACCTTGAAAGAACAATTCTCAACTTCATATGGAAAAGCAAAAAAACTCAGAATGGCCAAAACGATCCTGCACAACAATATATCATCTGCAGGTATCTCCAACCCTGATCTTAAGCTGTACTACAAAGTAATAGTAATAAAAACTGCATGGTACTGGCATAGAAACAGAATGGTGGATGGATGGAATCGAACAGAAGACCCAGAAATAAACCTACATACCTACGGATACTTGATTTTTGAAAAAGAAGCCAACACAACACAATGGAAAAAAGACAGCATCTTCAACAAATGGTGCTGGTCTAACTGGATGTCTACATGGAGAAAAATGCAAATAGAGCCATATTTATCTCCAGGCACAAAACTAAAGTCCAAGTAGATCAAAGGCCTCAACATAAAACCAGACACATTAAACCTCTTAGAAGAAAAAGTGGGGCAGAGCATTGAATTCATTGGCACAGGAGACAACTTCCTGAACAGAACACCAAGAGCACAGGCTCTAAGATCAACAATCAATAAATGGGACCTCATGAAACTAAAAAGCTTCTGTAAAGCAACGGACACTGTCATTGGAACAAAATCATAGCCTACAGACTGGGAAAGGGTCTTTACCAACGCTGTATCTGACAGAGGGATAATAGCCAGAAAATATAAAGAACTCAAGAAATTAAAAAGCAACAAGCCAAGTAATCCAATTAAAATGGGTTAGAGACCTAAACAGAGAATTCTCCATAGAGGAATATAGAATGGCAGAGAAACATCTAAAGAAATGTTCAATGTCCTCAGTCATCAGGGAAATGCAAATCAAAATGACACTGAGATTTCACCTTATACCCGTCAGAATGGGTAAGAATAAAAATTCAAGTGACAACACACGCTGGAAAGATGTGGAGAAAGTGGAACACTCCTCCACTGCTGCTGGGAATGTAAACTTGTACAACCACTCTGGAAATCAACCTGGCGCTTTCTCAAACAATTAAAAATAGTGCTTCCTCAAGATCCAGCTATACCACTCCTGGGCACATATCCAAAATATGCTCAAGTACACATCAAGGACATTTGATCAACCATGCTTTATTCATAATAGCCAGAATCAGGAAACAACCCAGATGCCCCTCAGTTGAGGAATGGATATAGAAATTGTGGTACATTTACACAATGGAATACTAGTCAGCAATTAAAAACAAAGAAATCATGAAATTTGCAGGCAAATGGTGGGATCTAGAAAAGATCATTCTGAGTGAGGTATCCCAGAATCAGAAAGACACATATGGTATATACTCACTTATAAGTAGATATTAGATATATAATGTTGGATAAACATACTAAAATCTGTATACATAATGAACCTAAGCAAGAACGAAGACCTGGGTATGATGATTAATCCTCATGCAGAAAGGCAAATGGGACAAACATCGGAAGAGGGAGAAAACAGAGAACAGGATAGAAGCCTACCACAGAGTGCCTCTGAAAGACTCTACCCAGCAGTGTATCAAAGCAAATGCTGAGGATCATAGCCAAACTTAGGGCAGAATGCAGTGAACCGTATAAAAGAAGGGAGAGATAGAAAGACCTGGACTGGACAGGAGCTCCACAAGTGGAGCAACAAAAACGAGAAATCTGGGCCCAGGAATCTTTTCTGAGATTGATACTCCAACCAAGGACCATGCAGGAGATACCTTAGAACCCCTGCACAGATGTAGCCCATGGCAGCTCACTATCCAAGTGATTTCCTAGTAAGGGGAAACAGAGACTGTTTCTGACACAAACTCAGTGGCTGGCTCTTTGATCACCTCCCCCAGAGAGGGGAGCAGCCTTACCAGGCCATAGAAGAAGACAATGCAGCTAGTCATAATGAGACCTCATAGGCTAGCATATGGATGGGGAGGAGGACCTCCCCTATCAGTAGACTTAGAGAGTGGTATGGGAGGACATGAGGGAGGAAGGGTGAGATTGGGAGGGAATGAGAGAGGGGGCTACAGTTGGGATACATAGTGTATAATTATAATTAATATTAAAATAACATTAAAGTTAAATTTAAAAAATAAACCATAATATTAAAAAAGAATTTAAGTTATATATGTATTATTAAAATCTACAAATATTATAAGTCAATGAATGTCCACGATTTATTATTGACATTTAAACCAAAAGGCTAAATAATCTAGATGATTTCTATATAACTTGGTTGACAGGCTTTTCTCCTATTGTCTAGCTATATGAACATTATAAATTTTACTAAAGAAATGTTCATGCATTTAGTTATAATGTCTCTTCTCAGCTCTGATAGGAATGATACATTGCACATGATACATCAACATTTTCACTGTATTTCCTTCAGAAATGTCCTTGTTATCTGAAAGATATGATTCCGTAGGATCTAAATGCCTAAGGTTCATACAAGATTTTGAACTGGAAATAGAGACAGTTGGCATGTTACCATGGTCCACCCCATGCTGCCAATATAGACAAATAACCCAAAAGCAAGAAAAAAAATATCAAACAAAATAACTTCATATGAATTTGTGATACATTGCCATAACAGTGTCAAACTCTAAGCCTCTCATTAAGTTTATATGACATATGACCTTTTCAAGAAGTGAACAATTGTATTACTGATATGTATATGAAGTACTGATTTAATCTTTCAGTGTATCTTATAATTAATACCAGAGAGGAAAACAATAAAAATTTAAGCAATATTATCTAGCATGTTTGAAATTTAACCATATCAATCAATATTATATTTTTGGCTGTTTCCTATGTTAATAATTTATATCTCAGTATATTAAAAATATAAAAGCTATAACTGTAATGACTACAGAAAATTAAATAAAATGTTTGACTATACAAACACTATGGCATCTCAAAATTTGAGGTCAATATTAGTTTCAGCACCCAAGATGACCTGTAAATCAATATAAATTATGGGCCATTTTATAAACCATCTCATTAGCTTAGCATTGTGCCAGCCAAAGTTAACATGATGGTTTTAGAAATTAATACAAGTATTCTGACTAAAGAATGGCATGTTATCTGACTGACTCACTCCAAACACACCACACAACTGATACACGCTACTTTCTTATATTTACAGATCTTAACTCTATAAAATTAAGTGCTATTTCATTTGCTTAAAATATAATTATACCTTAATTTAATGCTCCAACAGGCAAAATGTAATAAGTATTCATATACATCCTAAATTCTACCTTAAATCATAAAACAAGTGAATTTTAGTTATCACTGAAAGGAAAAACAAATTTCAATTAAAATTATTTTTGAGTTATGTTTCAGAAGTTTGAAAATCATACATGTACCATGTTTTTTCAATGCTACCTAAATGATCCACCATAGCAATTTCACATTAACAAGAGTTGAAGCAAAGCTATAATTACATTAAAATAATAAGCAATTTTAAACATTTTTTTGTATATTTGGCATAGTTGAGCTATATAAGCTTATTTAGAATAGGCTTAAATTAGAACAAAAACATCAGGTTGATTTTTCTCTACTATTCTGAACAGTGCAATATTTTGCATGAGAAAATATTCCTATCAAAGAAAATGGGGGACCACACCAGATTTCATCAGCAAAATGTAAGGCATGTGAATTGTTCCCTCCCTTTATCTTACCACACCTTTAAGGCAATGTCTGTTTGGATATTTTATTACTATTTTGAACAAAAACAAAATTTGTTTCTTATGAATCCATGCAATACTGAAGCCTCCCATGATCCAGCAACCTCATCAGAAATTACATTGACTAGGATCAGAAGGAAAGAAAAGAAGACCTCCATTATCACTGGACTTGGGGAGGGGCATGCATGCAGAGGGTGGAGGAAAGGGGAGATTTGAGCAGGAGGAGAGAGGGAACCACAGGGGGGATACAAAGTGAATAAAGTATAATTAATAAAGAATTTTTAAAAAAGAAATTACAGTGATATAACATTAGAGTCTTTTATTTACGAAAATCGCAGCGAAGACAAAAAGATTTTTAAAAATGCATTGGTTTATTTGGAATACTTATAAAGAGCTAAAATTTTATAAGGGCTAAGGTATGTTTATATAATACTTATTACAAAAACATTAAATTTGAACACAAGTTCGATAGAATTTTTCTTCTGATGGAATTCATGGTGTCCAGGAATATATTTGGATGAACTACCTGCCCTACCACAATAGCATTCTTCACATACAAAAATATTTAGCAGTGTTTAAAAGCACATTAAGTATATCAATAGGAATATCTTAATGTATTTTAACCTATACTTAAAAAAAATTGTTTGCTATATTTATATAAAGTAAATACTTTACAATTCAGAAACTAAAATGAAGAAAAGTACACTTCACGGTCCAGATGCTTATCTTGGTTCTATGTTAAGATGCATAAAATTGGTACTTACCTTTGACACTAAATCAATGTTAAATCTTCTGCCTTCTTTAATAATCTGTGAGTAAGTAATTTTATTTCTCTTTGGTGTCTCTGTGTTGTCTTGTACTTTATGCACATTTTCACTTGTTTCTTCTGCTGGAGATTTCGCATCACTATAATTTTCTTTCACTCTTGCTTCTTCAGCACCATTTACTTCTAATGAACTCAATGGACCACTGCTCTGACTTTGTTCTGCAGGTTTATCACAGTTGCAAGTGCTTAATGACTCATCGGCAGTAGGCATACAAGTAGCCTCTGCAGCCTCTGTGGAGTTTGAGGGTGTCACAGAAGTGTGATTTTTCTGCAATGCACCAGCTTCTTCGACATCGTTGTGCAAATCTTGGCTAATAAAAAAAAATAAGATAGCTATTAATATCATGCTTCTAATATTTCTTCTTTTAATATCATACTTCTAATATTTCTACCCTGCTATAATATTTTAAACTTTTCATGACAAGTTTTCCTCTACACTTTTTGTCTTAAATTCAGGGTACATACTGTCTCATACAACACATACTCTAAACCACCATCTATTAAATTTTCAATACAATAAATTAAGATATGAAATCGATAAAAATTTTCATATTAAAGAGACCATGAACATTCTGAGAGTTTAAGACAGAGGGATCTTATTTTAAAAACAAATCAATACAATATCATCTTCAAAATTAAGAGGTAGAGCTATAAGCCCCACCACCAGTCATGACTAACTCTCTCAATATATTCTCTAGTCCTATGCTATCCAGGGAAAACAGGACCTACCATCAAGTTTGGTCTAAAACTAAACTGACACTTCACATGCAAAGAACCTTGCACTGTAGCTGGGGCAGAATAAATGCCCATAGAGGTAATTATCAAAGATGATTAAAAATGAAGCTCTTTGAACTTGACAGTGTGACAGAAGTACTGTCAATCAACTGGGAAATACCTGCCATGAAAATAATTAAACTTTCCTATTATTTTGTTGTACCTACCAGGATCTTTTCATATTGTTTCCTATTGATTGTTGACATTTATTGCTCCACTGAAAGCTTCATTTCCAAAGTTATTATTACAGAAAGCATTTTTAGTCTACTGTTATCTTGATGCAAAAGACTCACACTTGGCTTGCCTATATTGTAAATTTATGTTCCCGAAAATCCACTCTTCTCACAGAGATGCCTTCTTGTTCAATACTTGTCTCAATGCCTTATAAGATATGTCTGTTACCTAAGCATAAGCTAACTGAATGTTTAAGAGCTAACACAAGCCCTTCCATTATTTGACTTCCCAAAAAAGAATTCTTCTGTACCTCTCTAAAATATCTTCCCTCTTTACTAATATTCTCATCTCATTTAAACTGGTCTCACACATGGCATCTCTATCGCCCAGTTGACCAACTTGAGTCCCCATATTTTGTCCCTTATCATGTTTTGTCCTTTCTTCCCATTCTTCCCACTCCTTAAAATATCACAATTACCCTACTCATAAACATAATCAATATTAACAACCTATATAGTCTAAAAAATTAAATTTCAAAGAGAACCCGATTTATCAGTTACTCCATGTACTATAATGCATGGATGAAATTTATCTTACATGAAATTACCAATACCTTTCTAAATGCCCATTAGTTGTTCAGTACAGATTAACACCTAAACTATATCCTCAAAGATTAAACATTATCAAATTCAAAACATTTGGAGCATCATGTTTTTAATCAAAAGGTTTTAAACTTTAGAACAGTTTGAACAAGGGATGCTCACTTAGTAAGTCTATACCAGTATTCTAAAATTAAAAAAAAAAAAAAAAAAAACAATCCTGAAGTATTTCTGTTCCCAAGTGTAGTGGTCTGAATGAGAAATAACCCCCATAGTCTCACTAAATACTTGGATCAGTTAATATTGCAGTCTGGCAAGTTTGCAAAGGGTGGGCTTAATGGAACAATATGTCATTGAGGGTGGGCTTTGCGAGTTTAAAGCCTGAGTCCACTCCCAGTTTGCTCTGTCTTCTGCATGTTTGTAGTTCAAGAGATGAGCACTCTCAAGGGTCTCATAGAAAAGGGAAGGATTGAGGGAGCCAGAGGAGTTAAGAACACCACAAGGAGCCCATGGGGGCTCAGAGACTGATACCCCAACCAAAGAGCATGCATGGGCTGGACCTAGGCCTACTACCTATATGTAGCAGATGTGAAGCTTGGTCATCATGTGGGTACCTTAACAACTGGAGAGCGGGCTGTCTCTTATTCTATTCCCTGCCTTTGGATGCCATTTCCATAGCTGGGAACCTTCTCTGAAGAGAAAGGAAGAAGGGAGTGTAGAGAAGAGAGCATGAGAGACAGACTGGGAAGAGAGGAGGGAAGGGGCTGAGATCAAGCTGTAAAGTGATTAAATAAATAAATTAATGAAAAATAAATACAAGGAGGGAGAGAAGTAGAAGTGGGAGATAGAGATCCTGATTGCTGGTCAGTCATACTGAAAGATTCCCCTGCTCCAACCATAATGCCAATGTTTGTTACCACTCTTCCTTGCTATGACAGACTCTTATCACCCTAGCACCTTAAGCTCAAGTAAAATCTTTCTCATATAAACTGCCCTGGTCATGGTATTTTATCACAACAGTACACTAAAATTAACTTGGAGGAAAAAACTATCTGTTTGGCTTACATGTTATACTCCATCATAACAGGAAGCATATACAGGAACTCAAGGCAGGAACCTGGAGATAGGAACTAAAGCAGAGACCTTAAAGGAACATCACTTGCCGGATTATTTCCTCTAGCTATCTCAGATATCTTTCTTAACTAGCTCAGGAAACCTGCATAAGGACCACAGCACACACAGTGAGCTGGGTCCTTCTATATCAATTAACAATTATGAAAATGCCCCATAGATGTGCCTACAGGCCAATTTCTCAGTTTTGCAACCTTTCTCCAAGTAACTCTAGCTTTTGTCAAGCTCATGAAAACTAACCAGAACACTGCCCTTGGTTCCAAGGTCATGTCCAGCAGGTTAAAACTGACCAGAATTACAGCTCCAGAGGATCCAACGCACTCTTCCTAAAGAATTCCCACGCATGTGGCATACACTCACACATCCATACACATGAATATAGATTAAAAAAATAAGTCTTTAAAAATTAAAAAAGCTATGATATAAAATGTGATTTTTAAGTTTTCTACGGTAATGTTAACATGTCCAAATTTGCTTTCATTTTGAAAATCAATGATACTTAAGGTGACAACTTTCTTTTTTCGTTGTTTTTTTTTTTGTTTTGTGTTTTTAATTTTAATTTTTGTTTTTTTATAGTAATTACAGTTTATTCACTTTGTATCCCAGCTGTAGCCCCCTTCCTCATTCCCTCCTAATCCCACCCTCCTTCCCTCATCTCCTCCCATGTCCCTCTCCAAGTCCACTGATAAGGGAGCTCCTCCTCCCCTTCCATTGGTGCTAGCCTATCAGGTTTCATCAGGACTGGATGCATTGTCCTCCTCTGTGGCCTGGTAAGGCTGTTCCCCCCTTTGGGAGGTGTGATCAAAGAGCCAGCACTTTCAACAAAAGTTCCATGCCTAAAATTTAAACTAAAAAGTGACATGATAGGGACCCCACTTGGATACTGAGTTTTTGGGCTATATCTGAGCCAGGGAGCAGAGGCTTTCTCTGGCATAAACTCAGTGATAGGTTCTCTGATCACCTCCCCCCTGGGGGATACAGCCTTGCCAAGCCACAGAGGAAGACAATGGGACCAGTCTTGAAGATTCCTGATAGGCTAGGGTCAAACAGAAGGAGAAGTTGACCTCCCTTATCAGTGAACTAGGGGAGGGGCAGAGAGGGAGAAAAGGGAGGTGGGTGAGATTGGGAGGAGATGCGGGAGGGGGCCATGACCGGAATACAAATTGAATAAATTGTAATAAATGATAATAATTAAAAAAGGAAAAAAAGAAGTGACAGGATAATTAATTACACTGCACAGATAAGATGGAATCTGAAAACTACTTTTATTACAGCCTGTGATGAGGACTGCATGAAAATTGAGCATCGGAACTGATTTACACAGTAGCTATCTTGTATATTAAGTAAAAAGAGATTTTATGAAAGAAATGAAATCCATTATACAGTATGGACAATCTGAAAGCTGAAAGTCAAAATATTTCACTAAAGGCACAATCAAAGGTTATGTAAATCTAATAGTGTGGGGAATGTGTAAGGAAAGGATTACTCTTTTGGAATTTATCCTGCTCTGACAAACCATGTTTGTCAAATGTTCTCAACATCACACCTTAGCACTACAAGAAACACAGAAGCATAGTTCTAGCATAGTTGGCAAAAATCTTAGTTCAACAGAAGTGTAAAAACATACTATACCCAATTGTCACCTAAAGCCAAAGTACTTTTGGAGTCCTACCAAGTTGAATAATTATATCTAACAAAGTGATGAAAACACTAAAAATTCCTAAATCCGCACATAATTATTTAGTAAATTCTTTTAATCAAAAGGACAATATCCCCATGAATTTAAAACCTTATATATTGCTTCATATATACGCAGCATTTTCTAAAAAGATATTCCACTCCAAAAAGAAACTTCAGAACAGTTCAATTTTAGTAAGTCAAATGTATTTGAAAACCATAAAAATATATCTGCCAGATGTATGACATTATTGGATTGTAAGTTCTCAAAATAAACTTTTAATTATAAAATACTAAAATGATTTTAACATATGAAGGAAAAAATCAGCATCATTAAATTTTGTAAAAAAATTGACTATGAAAAGATTTCACAAACTAAACCCAGTATCATTTATGATGCTAATTTCAATCTCAAAGGCCATTATAGATGGAGCATACATTTTTGAAAATTATTATTATTATTATTCACAATTTATTCATTTTGTATCCCGACTGTAACCCATCCTTCATCTACTCGCAGTCCTACCCTCCCTTACTCTTCCCCCTTATGCCCCTCCCCTAGTCCACTGACGGGAGGATATCCTCCCTTGCCATCTATAAAGAAAGAAAATTGTCCATTTCAATTAGATTTTCAATTTTTGTGGTACATAGGCTTTTGAAGGAAGACCTACCGATTCGTTGGATTTCCACAGTGTCTGTCATTATGTCCTCTTTTCATTTCTGATTTTGTTGATTTGGATAGTGTCTCTCTGCCTTTTAGTTAGTTTGGCTAACAGTTTGTCTATCTTGTTGATTTCTCAAAAAAACAGCTCTTCGTTTCCATGACTCTTTGAATTGTTCTCTGTTTCTAGTTTATTAATTTCAGCCCTGATTATGATTATTTCCAGCCATGTACTCCTCTTGGGTGTGTCTGCTTCTTTTTTTATTTTTTCTCTAGGTATTTCAGGTGTGCAGTTAAGTTGTTTGCATGAGATGTCTCAAACTTCTCTCTAAGACACTTAGTGCCTAAAATGTTGACCATAAATTTGAGAAATGTATGCCTTCATTTTCATTGAATTCAGGAAGTCTTTAATTTCATTTATTTCTTCTCTGACTCAGCTATCATTGAATAGAGAGTTGTTTAGTTTCCATGCATGTGAGGCTCTTTGTTGTTTCTGTTATTGTTGAGGTCTAGTTTTAGACCATGGTGGTCTGATATGATACAAGAGATTATTTCTATCTTCTTGTATCTGTTGGGGCTTTCTTTGTGAGTGACTATATGGTAAAATTTGGAGAAGGTTCCATGAGGTGCTGACAAGAAGATACATTCTTTTCTGTTTGGTGAAAAGCTCTGTAGACATCTATTAGGTCCATTTTATTTAAGACCCCTGTAAGTGTTGTTATTTCTCCATTTAGTATCTGTCAGGGTGATCTGTTCCTTGGTGAGAGTGGGGTGCTGAAGACTCCCACTATTAAGGTGTTGGGATCAATGTGATTTAAGCATTAATAATGTTTCTTTTACAAATGCAGGAGCCCTTCTGTTTGGTGCATAGATATTCAGGTTTGTGATGTCCTCCTGGTGGATTTTTTATTTGATGAGAATGAAGTGTCCCTCCCCATCTCTTTTGATTAATTTTGGCTGAAAGTCTATTTTATTAGCTATTAGAATGGCTACTCCACCTTGCTTCTTGGATCTGTTTGCTTGGAAAACCTTTTTCTAGCCCTTATTCTGAAGGAGCGTCTATCTTTATTGCAGAGGTGTATTTCTTAAATATAGCAGAATGTTGGATCCGTTTTCTGCAACCATTCTATTAGTCTGTGTCTTTTTATTAGAGTTGAGTCCATAGATGTTAATAGACATTAGTGACCAATGATTGTTAGTTCTTTTTATTGTGGAGCTGGTGGTGATTATGTGTTTGTGTGTCTGTTTTCTTGTGCTTTTTTGTTGTTATGGCGTCTTTATCTTTTGTTTTCTTGCATGTAGTTGATCTCATTGGGTTGGAGTTTTCTTTCTACTATTTTCTGTAGAGCTGGGGTGCTGCAAATATACTGTTTAAATTTAGTTAAATTACATATTTTGTTTTCTCCATCTATGTTGATTGAAAGTTTTGCTGTATATAGTAGTCTGGGTTGGCATATGTGGTCTCTTAGTGTATGTGGAGTATCCGCTCAGGCTCTTCTGGCTTTCTTAGTCTCTGTTGAGAAGTGGTGTGATTCTGATAGGTCTGCCTTTATATGTTACTTGGCCTTTTTTCCTTGCAACTTTTAATATTTTTCCTTTGTTCTGTAGATTTATTGTTTAATTATTACATTACAGAGGAATTTCTTTTCCGGTCTAGTCTATTTGGTGTTCTTTAGCCTTCTTGTATGTATATGGGCATCTCTTACTTATGGTTGGGGAAATTTTTCTGTAATTTTCTCAAACATATTTTCTGGGCCTTGGAGCCTGGAATCATCTTTTTCATCTATTCCTGTTATTCTTAGGTTTGATCTTTTCATTGTATCCTTGATTTCTTGGATGTTTTGTGTTTGTAACTTTTCCAATTTTATTTTTTCTTTGAGAGATATATCAATTTCTGCCACGGATTCTTCAGTGCCTGAGATTCTGTCTTCCTTATCTTGTATTCTGTTGGTGATGCTTACCTTTGTGGTTCCTGAACTCTTTTAAGTTCTCCAACTCCAGGGTTTTCTCTGCTTGTGTTTTCTTTACTGATTCTAATTCTGTTTTCATGTCCTGTACCATTTCCTTCATTTGTTTGAATGTGGATTCCTATCTTTCCATGACGGCCTCTATTTTCTTGTTCATTTTCTCTTTATATGCCTCTAATAACTGCATAATTATAAATTTAAGATTATTTTCCTGTGTTTCAGCTGCATTAGAATATCCATTACTTTTTGGAGATTCTGTTGAAGCAATGATATCCCTGTTTTTGTTGCTTGTATTCTTATGCTGGTCTCTAGCTATCTCGTTGCCTGTAGCCTTGACTGTTTGTTCCGGAGTCCACCTGTCTCTAAAATCTGTAGTAGTCACTTCTGGATTCACTGTCTCTGCTGGCTCACTGTTTGTGACCCAGGTACGCAAGGCAGATGAGGAGCAAGCCCAGATCTCTGAGCCTAGACTGTTCCAGTGCCCCACAGGCTCCTTGGGGAGGAGGACAATGGAACTTGGGTGCTGCGACTAACTCTGATCCACTGTGTTTACTGTCTGTGTGGCACTCACTGATTCTCACACAGGTGAGACAGGCAGCTGGGGAGCAGGCAGAATGGAACTGTGTTCTCCCCTACGGTACCAGAAAGTATTCCCTCAACGCCAGACTACCTGCCCCAGAGTGGCACTGGCTCCAGTGAGCTGGTCCTTCCTATATGAATAATTAATTTACAAAATGGCCCCACAGACTTGCCCACTGGCCTTTTGTCTACTGAAGTTACCCTCTGCAAATGACCTAGCTTGTGTGAAGCTGAAAAACTCTTCCATATAGCCCTGCTGTAACACAGGATTGTTACAAAGAGAAAATTAATTGCATGGCATTAATGTCATCTGTTATCATTACTCCAAAAATAGAAAGCACTGAAAGTTACTTTTGAAGAAGTGTGAAATGGGGAAGAGTTGTTGTCTTAGTTAATTCTATGGAAATAATTTTCATACCTGGCATAACAAAATACTTCTACATGTTGAATTGTTTTGTCCTTGTTACGAAGAAGAAGAACTTCCTCGTTTTCAAGTATCTTTTCTTGCCACACTGAATTTTCAGTCACAACATCACTGTTTTCCTAAACAAAACACAAAAAAGGAGTTTTACAAAAATAGAAATGAATGAACTAAAATTTCTCAAGAAAAACTGTATCTTGTTTTCAATTCATGTTTTTATTTTTATCACATCAAAATTCAATGACTTCAGAGTAAATGAATTGACTCCAACAGTGTGCCTGTTTCAAAGGAGGCAGAGGAAAATAATGCATAAAATCTATCAAAAGCTAGATTTGGTATATAACTATCTATGTGCCCCTGCTGTGTCTAGAAAATGGCATTTCCTTGAAGTTATACACTGCCTCTAGCTCTTACAATCTTTCTGTTCCCTCTTCTGCATGGATCTCTGAGCTTTTATGGAAAGGGTGTGATAGGATAAAGACATCCCATTTAAGGTTAAGCATTTCAAAGTCTCTCACTCTCTGAATGTTGTCCAATAGAACACACCCATTTTATGCAAAGGTATTTAAACTCTAACATCACTGCAGTTTTATCACCCATGTTTTTGTCTTCAGGAGAGCAACTGCTGATACACTCCATTAAATCAATGAAAGCAAGTATCATGCTTAGTTGAGTAACTGAATGCTGTTAATGTCTTAGCTAAAAATGATATTATCATTTTTTCCCAACAATCTCAGCTAATCTGAGAGATAGCAGGTTCTAAGTGCATGTAAAATAGCCTCAGCAACTTTTATTTCAACCCACATATACTAATTTATGTTAAATGTGTCTTATACAAAATGTTAAGCTACATAGAATGACTAAATCTCCACATCATACTGCCAGTTATCTCGAAAAACACTTCTTTATACTTGGGTACTCAATAGCTATAGGAATAAGAAGCTACTTCAAAAAAAACAATTTCTGAACTTCAACTTTTTTCTTTTAAGTGCTTCTCCCACGTGACAGAAATAAACATACAAGCCAGAGAATATTGATAGTTATTACTTTTGTTAAAAATAGAAAACAAGACAGTACAACATATTTTCTACACTAAGAATAAATGAAATACAGACATGAAAATATTGTAATGCAAATCACAACTCATTAAGTAGGATTTTACAATGTCTGGTGAAATATCTGAATGATTCTGAGAAAATCTTTCATTATATAACATTAAATAAAAATATAATTATGTGCATTTTTTAAAAATATGTGCATTTTTTCAAATAAATGTATGAAAATAAGCTACCTCATATGACAGAAAAATAAAATAATTCTTCAATGAATGGACATTATCTGACACAAGATACAACACAGTGACTTGCAATATCAAATAAGCACTTTACCTGGTATTCCTTCAGCCAGGACAAAAGTCCCGAAAAGCTGAAACTGGCCCAGTTTCCTCCATAATAGCTTCGTCTGTAACAATGAAAATGAAAGAATATAAAAATTAAGTCACTGATCTACATAAACTAAATCATCACTTAACTATAAACTCATATTATATAATAATATTGATGTCCCAAGTATTCCAAAGCACAGTATTTCTGTTGTTGAAATGAAAGGAAATAGCAAATGAAAGTAAATGGTTATTCTCAGATCTCAAAGGCAACATTTCCTGATGTAACAGCTTAAACTACCGTTGCCTTCTGGAGTCATCTTCAGTGACCATACAGAAATTCAGTTCCAAATCACCAGTAAAATAAGTTCCAGTACGGATCAATCAGAATATTTAAGAGTCACAATGCTGAGCACTAATTGGATGCTGTGACTAACTTGAATAAACTTCCAAAAATATGTGTCAGTTTCTTTAAAAATGATACAGTTAACCTATAGTGTAACAATTGCATTCCAAATCAATTAAACAAGAGAAAACATATTTCATTAAGGTATTTTTTATCACATTAATAAACAAAAATAATATCATCAAAAGGAATATAAACAGGTTATGATATAACCACAGAGTACATATATTTTCTCAATATGAAACGATAAAATACAGATACAAACAATAACATAGGTCAACTCAAAATTTTTATTCTGAATGAAAGCCTAAGCCACAATGAGGATATTCTGTATTAATTCCATTACTGTGACATTTAAGAACAAACCAAATTCATCTAGGATTAAAAAAAACAAAAACAAAACAAAAAAAAAAACCATAAGAGTGGGATTTTGGGCCTTAAACTCATTGGCACAGGAGACAACTTCCTGAACAGAACACCAACAGCACTAGCTCTAAGATCAACAATCAATAAATGGGATCTCATGAAACTGAAAAGCTTCTGTAAAGCAAAGGACAGAGAGTTGGGAAAGGATCTTCACCACCTTATATCTGACAGGTGGCTAATATCCAGAGTACATAAATAATTCAAGAAGTCAAACTGCAACAAATCAAGTAATCTAATTAAAAAAATGGGGTAAAGAGCTAAACAGACAATTCTGAATAGAGGATTATCCAATGGCAGAGAAACACTTAAAGAAATGCTCAACATTCTTAGTCATCAGGAAAATGCAAATCAAAACGACCCTGAGATTTTACCTTACACCCATCAGAATTGCAAAGATCAAAAACTCAAATGACAACAAATGCTGGAGAGACTGGAGAGAAAGGGGAACTATCCTCCATTGCTGGTGGGAATGTAACTTGTACAACCACTTTGGAAATCATTTTGGCACATTCTCAGACAATTAAGAATTGTGTTACCTCAAGACCCAGCTATACCACTACTAAGAATATATCCAAAATATGATCAAGTATACAACAAGGACATTTGTTCAAACATGTACATAGTAGCTATATTTGTAATAGCCAGAATCTAGGAACAACACAGGTATCCCTCAACTGAGGAATGGATACAGAAATTGTGGTACATTTACACAGTGGAATACTACTCAGCAATTAAAAGGAAGGAACTCATGAAATTTGAAGGCAAATGGTGGGAGCTAGAAAGGATCATCCTGACTGAGGTATCCCGGAAGCAGAAAGACAAACATGGTATACTCACTTATAAGTGGATATTAGACATATAACATAGGATAATCATACTAAAATCTATACATCTAAAGAAGCTAAGGAAGAAGGACACTGGGTAAGACACTCAATCCTTATTCAGAAAGACAAATGGGATAAACATCGGAAGAAGGCGAAAACAAGGAACAAGAGAGGAGCCTAACACAGAGAGCCTCTGAAAGACCCTACCCAGAAGAGTATTAAAGTAGATCCTGAGACTCATAGCCAACTTTGGGTAGAGAGCAGGGAATCTTATGAAAGAAGGTGGAGATAGAAAGACCAGGAGGGGACAGGAGCTCCAACAAGGAGAGCAACAGAACCAAAATAGCTGGGTACAGGAGGCTTTCCTGAGACTGATACTCCAACCAAAGACCATGCAAGGAGATAACATAGAACCACTGCACAGATGTAGCCCATAGCAGCTCCAAATGGGATCTCTAATAAGGAAAAAAGGGGCTGTATCTGACATGAACTCATGGGCTGGCTCTTTGATCACTTCTCTGGAGGGAGAGCAGCCCTACCAGGCTAGAGAGGAAGACAATGCAGCCAGTCCTGATGAGACCTGATAGGCTAGGATAAGATGGAAAGGGAGAGGTCCTCCCCTATCAGGGGACTGGGGAAGGGGCATGGGAGATGAGAGAGCTAGGGAGGGTGAGATTGGGAGGAGATGAGGGTAGGGGCTACAGCTGGGATACAACGTGAATAAATTATAATAAATAAAAAAATCTATAAAAAAATTCCTCAAATTAGAAAAAATAAGTTGTATCTCAGAGTGAGAATGTTAAGTTTTAAATTTCTTAAGTATGTGAATTTTAAGGATTTATTTAAGTGATATACTTAAAATCTGTACATTTCACAATATATAAAATTTAACTTTGAAAAGAACCATAAGTCAACATTAAGGGTTTATTAATCATTGCATGCTAAAATCCTGAGTGACAGAAATTACTTATGTGTTCATATCCCTAAGACTGAAGATGCATGGATCCACAGAATGAGTGTGTGGATGGCTACATGAGAAATAGAAACTACAGCCAAATGGCAGTTGTAGAAACTAAGTAATAAACTGATGTGCTCACAGTATAGCGGTTTTGTTCTTTTTTTTTCTTCAGCTTTTCTGTACACTTGAAAATTACCATGATAAACTGTAGGGAAAAATAAGTAAATTGAGTTTTTGAACACTGACTACAACGTGTTAATTTCCAAGGCATTTTCACATAATTGTGAAAAGATTAAGAAAACACATTCCAGTGTTTCTACTATTAAGTGGTTTGTGGTCAGTTCCTGGTCAAACCCTATTTTTCTCCTTTGGTCACATGGCTTTTGAGAGAGCTAAATGATCCTAGTAATTTAACATGCAGCTCCCATTTTCAACTTTTCCTTATGATTTGTTCCTAACATTAGCATCTGTTGATCTCATCCAATTATGTATGAAAAAGGTGAAACATGGTTTTCATTACTATGGTCTTTCAGACAAAAGATGGCAAGACGACAATTAGTAAACTCAATATAAAAAAAGAATATTCTAACAAAACTCATTTTGATAAATCTATGGGTTTAAATATAGTTTATAAATCTCTTAAACAAAGACATTAGATATCAATATAAGAGGACGAAAATAAATAGAAAAAAATCACTATGACATTCTAATATGATCTCTGGAACAAATTACAATAGATATGATAGAAATTAAAGCAACAGAATGTTTCATTTTACCTTTAAATATATGATTTATTCTTTTTCGATTTATATCCCCTTGATCTCCTTTAGTTGTTTTATTGATGTAGCTAGGCCTTCAAGCACTATGTTGAAGAGATATGGAGAGAGTGGGCAGCCTTACCTTGTCCCTGATTTCAGAGAATTGATATAAGTTTCTCACCATTTACTTTGATGTTGGCTATAGGCTTGCTGTATATTGTCTTTACTAGGTTCAGGTATGTGCCTTGTATCCCTGATCTCTACAAGACTTTAAAGATCAATAGGTATTGGTTTTTGACAAAAGCTTTTTTGGCATCTAATGAGATGTTCATGTGGTTTTTCTCCTTCAGTTTGTTTATATAGTGGATTACATTGATGGATTTCCATATATTGAACCACCCCTGCATGCCTGGGATGAAGCCTATTTTGTCATCGTATATTGTACCTTTTATGTATTTTTAGGCCAATCTCCCTTATGAATATTGATGCAAAAATGCTCAAGAAAATACTTGCAAACCGAATACAAGAACACATCAAAGATATCATCCACTATGATCAAGTAGGATTCATCCCAGTAATGCAGGGGTGGTTTAATATACACAAATCCATCAATGTGATCCACCATATTAACAAACTGAAAGAAAAAAAAAAACATGATAATCTGCTTAGATGCTGAAAAAGCATTTGACAAAATCCAACATCCATTCATGTTCAAATTATTGGAGAGATCAGGGATACAAGGCACACACTTAAACATAGTAAAGGTAATATACAGCAAGCCTATAGCCAACATCAAACTCAATGGAAAGAAACTTAAAGTATTCCCACTGAAATCAGGGACAAGGCAAGGCTGCCCACTCTCTCCATATCTCTTCAACATACTTCCTGAAGTCCTTCCTAGTGCAATAAGACAATTGAAGGACATCAAGAGGATACAAATCGGAAAGAAAAAAGTCAAAGTATCACTGTTTGCAGATGATATGATAGTATACATGAGTGACCCCAAAAATTCTACCAGGGAACTCCTACAGTTGATAAACACCTTCAGCAAAGTGGATAGATACAAAATTAACAGCAAAAAATCAGTAGCCCTCCTGTATACTAAAGAAAAGAGGGCTGAGAAAGAAATTAAGGAAACAACACCCTACACAATAGCCACAAAAGACATAAAGTACCTTACTGTGACCCTAATCAAGCAAGTCAAAGACTTGTATGAAAAAAATTCAAGTCTGTGAAGAAAGAATTAGAAGAAGATATCAGATGGAAAGATCTTCCATGCTCATGGCTTGGCAGGATTAACTTAGTAAAAATGGTCATCTTACCAAAAGCAATCTAGAGATTCAACGCATTTCCCATTAAATTACCAACACAATCCTTTGCAGACCTTCAAAGAAAAAAATCTCAAGTTCATATGTAACAAAAAGAAACCCAGAAATGTTAAAACAATCCTCTACAATGAAAGATCTTCTGGAGGCATCTTCATCCCAGATCTCAAGCTGTACTATAGAGCAACAGTAATAAAAACTGCATGGTACTGGCATAGAAACCAACTGGTGGATCAATGGAACCAAACAGAAGACCCAGAAATAAACCCACACATTTATGGACACCTGATTTTTGACAAAGATGCCAAAACCATACAATAGAAAAAAGGCAGCATCTTCAACAAATGGCGCTGGTCTAACTGGATGTCTACATGTAGAAAAAT